CGGTCGCGCAGCCCTCGAGGGCTGTGTGTTCTGGGCGCTGACTTGCTGTGCCGCCCCGGCAGGTCAGGATGGCATCGGACGAGGGGAAGCTTTTTGTCGGAGGGCTCAGTTTCGACACCAATGAGCAGTCGCTGGAGCAAGTCTTCTCCAAGTACGGGCAGATCTCCGAAGGTGAGGCCGCAGCGCCCGGCACGGATCGCGCCCGTTGTTAGCTGCGTTTCCCGCGCGCTGACGGGTTTTCTCACCCTTTCCGCAGTTGTGGTGGTGAAAGACAGAGAGACTCAGAGGTCCAGAGGGTTTGGGTTTGTGACCTTTGAGAACATCGACGATGCAAAGGATGCGATGATGGCCATGAACGGCAAGGTGAGGAGGCTCCGGGGTTGAGAGAGGGACAGGAATGTGCTGCTGTGTGCTGAGACTGGGAGTGACACGGTGGAAAGCCATGGAACGGTGGAGATGTAACAGTGTGGATGCTTATATGCGCGTGAGTTTGTTTGTGTACAAAGCCTTTAAATGATACAGGTGTGAAAGTATGGGTGCGTGAAAATCTCTGGGTTTATGCGTGTAAATACCTGATGTGTGAAGTTATTAATGGACATTGAGGAGGGTATGAATTGCTAAACCCCCACGATTTAACCTATGTGGCTCAGAGGGACAGCTCTTGGGGGTCCCTCAGTGGACAGTGGAAATACCAAGTTATTCACGTGTTTGATTTACTTATATAGCAAGCAAACATTTAATGTGGCGTGGCTGTTTTGTCAGACCAGCCAGTTCTGGTCCTTCTGAGCTGATGCTGAAGCTCTGCAGCTTGTTCCACATCACTTTGCCCCTTAAACGTGCCTGTTTGCCTCTGGCTGATGGTGGTTGTGCTCCAGTCTGTAGATGGGCGTCAGATCCGAGTGGACCAGGCCGGGAAGTCCTCTGAGAACAGATCCCGTGGGTACAGAGGAGGCTCCTCGGGGGGCAGAGGATTCTTCCGCGGTGGCAGGGGCCGAGGCCGCGGCTTCTCCAGAGGTCAGTGCTGGGGGTGGCCCCAGGGTCTGGGCAGAGGGGACAGGGCCTGTCAGAATGCCTAAAAACACCTCATTTCTGTGTCCCAGGAGGGGGAGACAGAGGCTATGGTGGCAGCAGATTTGACTCCAGAAGTGGAGGCTATAATGGCTCCAGAGACTACTATAATAGCAGGTGAGAGGGCTGTGCCAGGGTTGGGGTGGATTCTGGGGAGTGCAGAGACAAATAGGTGAGGGCACTGGGGGCTCTGCCAGGCCAGGGGTGGATTCTGTGAGGTGTAAGAGCCCACTCTAACAGCAGGTGGGGGCACTGGGGGCTCTGCCAGGGCCGGGGTGGATTCTGTGAGGTGTAAGAGACCACTCTAACAGCAGGTGGGGGCTCTGCCAAGGCTGGGGTGGTTCTGTGGGGTGAAACTTGCCGCGCACAGCCGTTCGGA